AATATAATAGAATCATGTTCTTTAGTGTGTAGATTTTTTTATTTTCCAGAAAAACTAACAACACAAATATTGTTCTGATAAACCTTTTCAATTTTTTAATTGTTGAAAGGAGTATATGAAACTAAATGATTTTTGTTTTTGTCATAGTTTATTGACAGAGGCAATATCTTGTAAGGTTTATAATTAAAATAACTCAGATAAGCCCTAAATCATTTTGCCTGTTGTTCAAAGCATGTTGCCGAACTATCCTAAAAGACAGGAAATGAAAATGGTTTTGCCTTAAAAATAATGAACATTTTGTCAGCACAGTTTATGTTATAAAAGATTCAGACAGTAAACATGATAAATATGAGTGATGCTGGTCTCCCAGGAAGATGAAGACTGGTGACATACATGCAGCAGTATGTTTACTGCTTATTTAGACATAGCTGAATGGTTGGTTGTTGTTGGGTTGTTCTTTGTTAGCTTTTGGTTTGGGAGGGAGGGAGGGAGGGTGGTGATAATCATCAAATAAAGTATCATGGCTTAAGAGATATTGTCAGTACACATTTTAACACGTTTAATAAGACCAGGTTTAACATAATGGGAATTTTAACCAACCTGCAGTAGGTTTGGCAACTGCACTTGTGAGCCTTGAAAGGGGTACCCACTATTTGCTATTTTCTATGTAATACTGAATTAGCTGTTGATCCTTATTCCAAAGTATACCTGTATGATTGATCAATCAATACGTCAATCATTTTGCTCAGGAGTACAATAGCTTAAGCTTGAATGTATTACATGAGTGCACTTCACACATATTTCAAGCACTAAATATGGATGAGTGGATGAGAAATATGTAATCCTTCTGTTGTGTCACTAACAACTGAACATAAATTATATGTCTGAATATCATTTCAACATTACTGTCTTAGTAAATATATTCAAGTTGTACTCACTGTTTTGGATGTGGCCATAATCCTGGAATAAGGATCACCAAACAGGGTCTTCTTTTACTTTGAAGTGAGCTGTCCCAGTGCATCTATCTTACATCAAGATGTAATCCTTTCCTTGAAACCTTCTTTGTGGTGTAATGTCATGTGTCAAGTTCCCTTAATATTGGCTCAGATAACCATTTCGTATGCAGTCACTCCTTCTTGATAGCCTTTTACGTGGCCACTTTCCAGCAAACTGGAAAGTGAAAATAGCTTCCAGTCGGAAAACCCCAGATTCTTAGAAATCTAATAATAGCCATATCAGTTAGGCTGAAGTCACATGACTGGTATTGATTCAGTCAGACTCAGTGGTATCACGTTGTGCAGGGCTGGCTGACAGCTGATCTGTGAAGTAAACTTTTGTACAGGAAACTTGTTTTAAATATAACTTTAAAATGTTTTTATCTATGACTCTCTGCTTTTAAGTTTTTTGGTGTGGTTTTTTTTTCAGTGTTTCTTTTATTTTTTGAAAAGGGAAGGGTTTTTATTTACTTTTTTTGTGATCTTGTTTGAAGTATTAAACATTCAATTAATTATTTATACTCAGTCATGCAGCCAGACACATATCCTTTTTAAACTTTGTCAGGTAAAAATCCCACAAGTGATATCAATATGTAATATACATATTCAGGTTACTGTTCACCTGTCTGAATTAGAGTTCTTGGAGACTGCTCTGGCATTGCATGGCCGATGTAAACCACCACTATGTTAACCTTAACTTTTCTTATCCAAACAATCGCACTTGCTGAGCTTTTCCTGGTGCACTCTGTAAACTGGCAGATATTTATATAAGTCAGCATTTTTGGATTTTCTTAAAACAAATTTTCACAAGTTTTACAAAGACATAATCACTTGAAAATGTATATAACTTCTAATTTCAGCAGTTATCATGAATATTGTATTATGTATTATATAAATGGTAGAAAAGAGAGTATGTATACAGTAACTGTTACAAGTGCTGACTTAATAGTCATAAAATAGGTCATGACAGGTCATTATTTGTTTCAATGCAGCAACTATGCTATTTAGATATTATTTTATAAACACTTTGTATTGCAGTTTTATTTCAAGTTGCATCACAGATCCTGTGTTTCAAGTAATATATATATATAATAAAGGGCATCGTTATATTAACAATGAATTCCCTTAGTTGATTGTAGGTGGCAGGCATTTCTATAGTGTCATTATTGTTCTATCAGAAGGGGAACAGCATCAGTCAACCCTAAATAATTTGATCTGAAAGGCACTTTGTATAATTCAGAGAAATATTGCTGAGTGTGGCGTAAAGCTAAACTCACTCACTATAATCCAGAGAACATGACCACTTCAGTTTTCTTTGATACTGTTGCTATATTAGCTAGGATGCATGTAATATGTTTCTTTCTTTGTTTCTTGTTCACTCAGCGATTTTCTAAGCTATATGATAGCTGTCTGTAAATAATCGAGTCTGGACCAGACAATCCAGCTGTCTGTAAATAATAGAGTCTGGACCAGACAATCCAGTGACCAACAACATGATCATCGATCTACACATTTGGGATACGGTGACATGATTGTGTCAAACAAGTCGATAACATGTTTCAACCAGCGGGTATGACCACCTGATCCTGTTAGTCACCTCTTACAACACGCATGAATTTAATTCTAACCAGGATCTTCACTGGGTTTATATACTGGTAAAGGTAATGTTTATACTGAGATTAGATAGTGAGAGTATCCAGAGGTATGTCCCTTCTGGGCATAGCTGAAGTTGAAACATACCTTGTGCATACTGATACTGTGTTTATTCAAAATTAAGGGCAGTGGGGTAGCCTATAGCTAGTAGTTAAAGCAATCCTTCATCACGCCAAAGACCTGGGTTCAATTTCATACATGTGTACATTGTGTGAAGCCCATTTCTGGTGTCCCCTGCCATGATATTGCTGGAACCTTACTGACTGTTAGTGCAGGGTTTTACATGACGCATGATTCGTGCGTATTTGACGTAACAATTTTCTAAAAGACTCTCAAAATGTTATTGTACGAGTCAAGCTTGACGCAAGTCTTATGAGTGACCCTCAGAATTCAGTTCAATAAATCGAAATTTGATAGCAAACAATGATAGCTTTCGTTTTATTGCAAACTGTTGAAAATGTTCGTGATATTAATAGAAAGTATGGGAACACAGAGTGGTTAAAAATAGAGCCATGCTATAGTTTGGCATGAAATGCATGTGGACCCGGTTTTTTGTAAATATCTCTTCATCCAATGACCCAATCGATCTCAAACTGTGCAAGTGGATGTTTTTGTCAGACAACCTAATCACATTGTAAATCACCGATTTTATGCATTTGTATTAAAGAATCTGTCTATGTAACTGTCAACAAAATAAACAGCAGACCGCAGACTGCTTGCAGAGGGAGGGAGCCAATGACCTGTAACAGCGGCAGTGTTGGGTCATAAAGGTAAATGCACGTGCAGTTCATGATAGTTACCTGTGCACTGCACAGTGATAGACCGTTTGGATCTTCCACATTGACTACTTCTAGCTGTCATCATGAAAGCTTATTCAGATGAATGATGCTAAACGTTTAATTAGAAATGTGTTGAATTTTTTTTTAAAAGAGAGCAAACGTAGCAAACCGATTTATAAGGTGTCGGATTACATGAAACGTACAACTTTTGCTCTTGGCATGAAAAAGAACATCGTGCTAAAAATTGTGAAAAATAAACCAACAACCAATAAACAAAACCTTGTACAAAAAGGTAGGCATCCAAAGTTAAATCTTTTGACATCAGGGTCATCAGAGATGTCATTCGCCGGCTATTTGCTAGAAATGAACACCTCTTCATACCTGTCACGTGCATAGCTGACCTACATTGACGAACGTTGACCTTTATGACCCAACACTGCCGCTGTTACAGGTCATTGGCTCCCTCCCTCTGCAAGCAGTTTGCGTTCTGCTGTTTATTTTGTTGACAGTTACATAGACAGATTCTTTAATACAAATGCATAAAATCGGTGATTTACAATGTGATTAGGTTGTCTGACAAAACTTCCACTTGCACAGTTTGAGATCGATTGGGTCATTGGATGAAGAGATATTTTAAAAACCGGGTCCACATGCATTTCATGCCAAACTATAGAATGCAGTAAAGATACCAGCCAATAACATTTGAGTATGTCATTTGCTATATTTAGACAGCCTATAGCAGTTGAGTACGTCATTTGCTATATTTAAACTACTTGTATGTTTTGGTCATTTAAGTATTGTCGGTCCTGCCAAGAAGAAGCGGTCGCTTGACTCGATTTTCGGTAATGAAAGCAAGAAAAAACAAATCTCCTGATGTTTCTAATCATGAGCACAAAGACCAACTGCTAAATTATAACCTGTGATATGTGCATTCGGGCAAAAAGTAAATCCAACCCCTGTACATTTGCTAGTCAAAGGCAGACAAGGTTCATCGTAGTGACCAGACTGATGGTCACATTAAACAAATACTTACTGTGTATGTCATGGCTCAAAACATATCCATGCTGATACTTTTAAGTTATAGATTTGATGAATTTACAAGTTATTAGTAGTGTAGAACACTGCAGTAACTTTTACAGAAATGCTCATGTCATTGAGGAATTGATCTTCCATGTTATGGAAGAACAGCAAATTGAAGCCATAAAGACCAGTTCTTACATTAGCCTTATGTTGGATGAGACTTGTGACATCGCCATTGAAAAAACCTTGCAATTTATGTAAGGTATATTGATAGTGAACTCTGGGTGAACCAGCTGGTATGCAGTATACTGGACTTTGTTATGATTGAATTGAACAGTGAAAAATATACCATTTTGATTGCAATCATGAACACAGGTGTGTGAAGCTAATTCCTTGTGTGCCCTGCCATGACATTGCTGGAATATTGCTAAAAGTGTCTGTCACCCACCCACTCACCCCTTTCAAATTCTCAGTCATGGTCTGTCCTCTGCTATCACCATTACATACCCAGTGTCCCCAAGGTCACATGTTCATACCCAGCTCTCTCTTCCAGGAATTTTGACTTCTTGATCCCGGATGCCCCAGAACTGATTGCTAACTTCCTGGAAGGGGAACAGGACATGTCCTGCAAGAGGAATGCCTTCATGATGCTCATCCATGCTGATCAGGTCAGTTCATTTTAATGAAGTTCGTGTCTATTTGTAAGAATTCTGAAAAAGGTATGTGATCGTATAGGGCTGATTGGTATTTATAGAGATCCATTTGTTCCAAATTTTGTCCACAATTGTCTTTGACTGTTCAGTGATATACATGTATATGTTTTACACATTACTATTATATTGGTTCTTGTTCTGTTTAATTTTTTTTATTTGAAAGGGTGGTTGAAAGTTTCTATTAGGGCTACCGTTTCAGTGAATATTATGCTTGTTATCCCCGCAACGCATTTAGCCCGAAGCGGGGGATATAGTATTATTCTCCATCTGTCTGTCCGTATGTATGTACAGACGAACAAAATTGAATATCTTAAGAACCGTCGACTAGTTTCTTGTCATATTTGGTACTTAGGTTCATCACAATATGTGAAAAGTCCCAGTCAGGTTTGGTGACCTTGACCCTCATTTCAAGGTCACAAGGAGACCTCAACGTTTTACCCTTGTCAGCGGGATATCTCAAGAAGCATTCACTAGATTGTCTTCATGTTTGACACCAAGCTTCATCTAGTGAAGGTGCACGGCCCAGTCGATTTTGATGACCTTCACCTAATTTCCAAGGTCACAGCAACGCTTTGAAGATTTCAGAATGTTAGCCTTTGTGTTAAGCTTGTAAGCGAGATACCTCAAGAACCATTCGTTTGATAGTCATCATATTTCACACCAAGCTTCATCTAAGGAAGGTGCAGGGCCCAGTGGATTTTGGTGAACTTCGTTTAATTTTCAAGGCCGTGGCGACACTTTGAAGATTTCAGCATGCTAACCTGCATATTAAGTTATCAGCAGGATATCTCAGGAATGGTTCACTGGATTTTCTTCATAGACTTTCAAGACTTCTCTTGAATGTTTTAAATAAGCAATTTCTTTATTACTATTTTGCATATTTCATACACCATGACATTCATGTCAAGGTCAAAGTGAATCTTGAAAATATTTGTGTGTTTCAACAACTACAGAGCAAGATATCAAGAGAGGTTGACTGGTCATAATTTAATTGACATTTAACCCCATCTTAAACTACGACCTTCACTTTCATTACTTTTTAACTTTGATTTGATAATTTTGTGGCGGGGATCATGTCACCTTAGTGACAATGCTTGTTTATTTCAGTTTATAGCTTTGTCAGGTTACATTGAAAGATATATGTATTTGATAATGATATACATGATATATGGGACATTTGCAGCAAGTTAAGCGGAAGTCCTTTGACTGTGATTGTGTAGTACATGAGCTCTGACTGATTTTGTGGTACACGGACACTGACTGAGGTCTCTGATGTGAGGTAGGTAGGCTCCGAGTGTGATCATTAGGCCAATTATTTCTTTGATTGTTTCCCCAGGAGCGTGCCCTAAACTACCTGAGCAGCTGTATTGACCAGGTTACTGCCTTTGGAGACATCCTGCAGTTGGTGATCGTGGAACTCATCTACAAGGTAATACCTGGGGTCAACTTCCCCAATCTGTTCAAAATATGATAACATTGTAGGAAAGATATTCCAACATATTGACAGGAAGATTTATTGGTCTTTAATGAATTCCCTAATAATCATACAAATAGCCACAAAGGAAGATTTTAGGGCTGGAGAAGTTTCTGTCCCTTTGGGTAAATTGTGGGTGCATTAGTGTCTGGGGTAGCATGGTCACTAGCATGTTATCTCACGGACTATTCATTATCCATCTTGTAATTTAGTAAGCAATAGCTGAAACTATGTTTGCTCAAGTAATGAATCAAATTCTTAAATTCTTAATGTTTTATATACCAGATGAATTTTCTGTGGCTCCTTTTACAGACATCCGGTGTTCAATGTGTGTGTGTCTTGTAGGTGTGCCATGCCAACCCATCCGAGCGTGCCCGCTTCATTCGATGCATCTACAACCTCCTTAACTCCTCCAGCCCTGCCGTCAGGTACGAGGCTGCCGGCACCCTCGTCACACTCTCCAGCGCCCCCACGGCCATCAAGGTGAGTCTTTTACCTTTGTCTCCAACATATCCAGTAATAATTTTTCCAATTTTGTCATCTATTGTTTCAAATCCATGAAAACGATTATTGTCTTAAGTTTAGATTTTTCCTTATCCTGACTCATGCTAAATGCTTGTCTCCTTCTTCTTGCGAATGATAGTGGAACACTTGAAATCCCTTGAAGTTCCCTTCTAAAAAGCGGACGTAAAATCATCACTCATCCTCGAGTAGTCTCCCTTGCCTCCTTTGGCGCCCTTTTTGGTCACATGACCAGCTATGTTTGTCACTCTCTCCTTCTTCGCCCTTGAGGACGGTTGTGAGAGCGCCTGGGTCCCTATACGGCACATATCCTTTTCTATTTTGGACCTTTTACATCTAAATGGCAGCTGTATACGGTTTGGGGATTGTATATTATCAAATGTTTTGATATTATGATATTATGATATTATATTTTAAATTATACGTTGTTTGCCATGTTTATCATCTGGTTAACAATTGATGAAAACTTGTATTCGTTGTAGGTACCGGCTGTCTGTGGCTGACCCGCATATATTATGTCCTGATTGCACAACTACATGTTCTTTGAGCTATCGCTGTAACTACTTTTGAATTTAATAACTACCTTTTTTTCTCTTCATAGACGTGCAAAGGACTGAGTAAGAAGGTATTCACAAGTCATGTCTGGTAAATCGAGTGATTGCGCTGATAACTGTGTGTTAACTACTGCTGCCGATGTTCATAATTCCAGTGAATTGCCGAGCGTTTTACGAGGGCAGGTGGCTGTTCCAGTGATGAACTCCAGTTCCAGTCTCGAATAAGTAGAGATCGTCGTCAACGGAGCTGTCCTCATCGCAGACGAAGAAGACGCGATCTTCTTCATCGCAGAAGAAGAAGTCTACAGCTCCAGCATCATACGGAGCCCTTCATGATAACATCAGGGTTTGAGATTACAAGATCATCAGTGAATCCCGTAATAGATCTTCAAGATGGAAGATAAGAAGATAACGCAACTGGACACTACAACTAGATGATGCCTATGTTGGATCAACGCGGGTCTGAAGGAAGAGACACACACCTGAAGTAACTATATCAGATAACATCCGATGAAACACTGAAGATGACTTTTATCACATGGGCTTACAAGATATCAAGGGGACAGTTAACAGCATTGTTGCAGTTCCTCAGCGAGATATCAGTTATGGTCAACTTTACAGAACATCTGTATAAGATGGCGACTACAGTAAAGATTATAAAGTTGAAGAATACAGTCACAACAGACAGGGAACAGTCTGCTTACATCGGTACTATGCAGCGAAGTTTTCGCGCGCTTCCACTCAGCCATCTATACACGTGTTCACTCGTGTAACTCTGGCACAAGCCGAACAGAGAGGTTACAGACAAGGCCGAGTATTGACGAAGAAATCAACGACTGCACAAGATTCTACGAGGATCATTTACCTGCAACACCGGTGACGTCACATCTGTAATCTGATTGGTCCATGAGAGACAAACCCTCTGCAGAACTCGGTCATAGTCACGTGCCAGGAAGTCGTCTACAGTTGTAAACAACTCTTTCAACGTGGGAAAGGACTCCATTTACAGTCCAGTTAGCAGGGTACAGTGTGGTTCGACTATCTTCACGGGTCATAGAGGATTTAATATGGCTATCTGGGGACTTGCAGCGACAAGCGTGAGACGGTTTCTGGTCACGGCAGCCGGTCGACTATAAATATACTTCACATCGATGGCAGTCCCAGTACATCATAGATTTTTGCTGATCTAGAGACGACGTATTATGCATCATCGCTGCACATTGTTCGGATTCTGGTGACAACATCTTATTTACATATTACCGGAAGATTGATGAGACAAGCTTCAAGCCATGATTCCTGAATCGATCATCTCTCCGCTTCCATGACGGACATGGCAAGGGCTCCTAGATCCACTTACCTACAACGTAGGACATGATTGCAGTAGATGGCTAGTAATCTCCTAATCGGAGCTGGAACCAAAACAGGATCTTCAATTTCCAGGAATATGGCTCATCACACCACAGAATCACACGGTCGTCCCAGAGGATCGTTGGGTCAAGATACAACATATGATATCTCAAGCAATGCTCTCTCCGTTGACACTACGTGCTTGGCAAAGCATGCTTGGTCTACTCACCTCAGCTCAAGACATGACTCGCAGAGGGAAATTACAGCTGCGCCCACTACAATATTTGTGAACGCCCATCTCGACAGTTTGGATCCACTGATACTACCGGACAGTCTGAAACCATATCTCCTATGGTGGACTTAGAAGTCGAATGTTTGCGGAGGAACCTTTTTGTCAGAGCCGGCTTGCAACACTCATCTCTACATGGATGCATCACTACAAGGATGGGATGCTCACCTCGACAACAAAGTGGCAGCAGGAAAGTGGTCGAGTCAGGATCAAATTCTGCACATCAACCTGTTGGAGATGAAAGCAGTGATCAACGCTTTACCACACTGTTCCAACGTACTAAGGAACGCAAGGCTCACAGTCCACATGGACAACTACACAGTAGCGTTCTACATCAACAAACAAGGATCAACAAGGTCAACAAGTCTGCTAAAACTGCTTCCTCCTGTTCAGCATCGTCGACGACCTGAACATCTACATGAGCAAAGAATGTCATAGCAGATGCCCTATCTCGTCCACTACAACCATCCCTGACAGAATGGATGTTACATCCAGAAGTGTTCCGGTTCGTCATACAGACAGTAGGATCTCCGCTGATAGACTAGTTTGCAACAAAGTTCAACAAGCAACTACCAACATTCGTCTCACCGATTCCGGATCCTCAGGCATGGGCAACAGATGCTTTAAGCATCTCATGGGAAGGACTAAACGCTTACGCGTTTCCACCTCCAGCACTATTACCACAAGTAATACAGAAAATCAAGCAGATGACAACGTTGCAACTGATTTGGGTTCCGCCCTATTGGCCAGCGAGGGTATGGTTTCCCATCCTCATACAAGAACTCGGAAGTCCAACCCTGAAACTACCAGAGTGGTCGAACCTGCTCGTCCATCCACACACCAAGCAAGCTCACGGGAATAGTGCATTGTTCCAGCTACACGCGTGGAGCGTATCAAAGCTTGCCTGAAGACTAGAGGGTACTCCGCCAGAGCAGCAAAAGCAGTGACACTAGCTTTACGCAGATCAACTCGCAACTTGTACGACGACAAGTGGCAGAGATTTGAACAGTATGCACCGAGGAAAGGCTTTACAGCGGTAAAGGCAACCCATCCTCAAGTGGCGGAATACTTGTGTCATTTGCGACAGACGAGACACTTAAAAGGTTCAACACTCTCAACGTATCTGGCTGCTCTCAGCACAGTTATCACTATGAAGACGGGTGTCAAGCTGACCAAAGTACCAGAGATACTGGCACTACTACGCTCGTTCAAGTTGGAAGACCAACAAAAGAAATTCAAGGCTCCTGCCTGGGATCTCAACGTAGTTCTACAACATCTCACCAGTGACAGCCTACGAGCCTCTAGAAAGGACATCCTTTGAACTACTGACACAGAAAACGCTGTTCCTGATCGCCCTAGCAACAGCAGCACGGATGTCAGAAATACATGCTCTGGACTTTGAACGAACACGATTTGAATCATCACATCGTGACATCGTACATCTAGGACTGAGATGGGACTTTATTGCCAAGAACCAACTGCCCGGCCAGCCTGACAGACAGTTCCACATCCCAGCACTCTCTACAGTCCTTGGGCCACAGGATACACAGGATCTATCCTTATGCCCTGTCAGAGCACTAAAAGTCTACCTACAAAGGACAAAAACAAGGAGACGAAAATTCAAGCGCCTATTCATCCCCTTATCCACTGAGACGCCCACGGAAGTCTCACGGACAACGATATCGATATGGATGAGAGCCGTTATACTAAGGGCCTACAAAGCAGCCGGACTTGAACCTCCACAAGCCTCCAATCCCCACGAAGTCAGAGCTCTGGTGTCTACACTTGCTCTGCATGGAAACTGCTCGATTACAACAATAATGGAGGGCTGCTTTTGGAAATCGGACACAGTGTTTGCAAACCACTACCTCAGAGACATTGCCACCTAAGACGTCTCAGGCATTCACCAGTTTGGGCCACTTGTTGTAGCACAACAACTAACGGTTCCACAAAGGCGCTGAGAAAAATCTCACACTTTTATCACGTGACTTGTGAAAACCAACGCTCTGGAGAGCAAATGGTTTAAGTCCATGCAAACGTCTAGGACAGACTAGCATGAGTCATAGACCCTGTACTTGTATAGGACTTACTCGTACATGAAGAAGGGTCGCATCTCCACTTGATGCACGCATCAAGAGATGGAGTTGGAATAGATAACTAATGGAACACTAGTATATCTAAAATCCACATGAAAATGTCAGGAGAAGTTTCGGAAGATATCTGACAAGTTGTGGTTCCCCCCGACTCATCAGATGGAAGTTGGAAGAACAGAATCATCAGCAGTGCCGTCATAAGTTCCCATGGGGGGTAATACAGGACGTAAAACAGCAGCCAGTGAATCCATGGAAGTGGCCTGACCCACCACCTATTCCGACGGATTCTGCAAGCATTTAGCATGAGTCAGGATAAGGGAAAATATGTAATTTTCTGACTAAAATTGATATTTTATACTTATCCTGACTCATGAGGTCAGCCCTCCCAACCTCCCCTCTCAGGGCACTCTGGATTTCCGGGTGTCAGGCATACAAACGGAGAGAGGGACAAACATAGCTGGTCATGTGACCAAAAAGGGCGCCAAAGGAGGCAAGGGAGACTACTCGTGGGTGAGTGATGATTTTACGTCCGCATTTTAGAAGGGAACTTCAAGGGATTTCAAGTGTTCCACTATCATTCGCAAGAAGAAGGAGACAAGCATTTAGCATGAGTCAGGATAAGTATAAAATATCAATTTTACTCTAAAAATTACATTTTTAGTCAGAAAATTACTTTATCATTCACCTTTAAGATGGTAAATGAACAAACATGATTTCATTATGAGCTCAAGTTAAAGTTTATGTCCAACCTTTTGCACTGACAGTGATGTGTGTTTGTCATTAAATGGTTTCATTTGAACTATATAAACAGCAGTTTCTTTGTGTAACGTTTGCTACAATAGAAGCTGTTATAATGGAATTTCTTGGTGAATTAGTGCACATTGACATTTTGATGTATTAATTTGTCATTTTTAATTTATCTTGAAGTAATTTGTGAGGTGATACAAGATGCTTGTACAGTGGCTTCCCCCGTTGTAGGCTGCAGCCAGCTGCTACATCGAGCTGATTGTGAAGGAGAGTGACAACAACGTCAAGCTGATTGTCCTGGACAGACTCATCAACCTGAAGGAGGTCGCCGCACATGAGAAAGTCTTGCAGGTCAGCATCACCTCCACAATACACAAATATATGTACAAGTTTCCTTTGACAAAAATCCTGTGAAGATCCAGGTTAGAATTTGTCGTAGGCTACCCATGCGGTGACTAACGGGAAAGGGTGGTCAGGTTTGCCGACTTGGTTGACACATGTTATCATATCATGCAGTTAATCACTGGATTGTCTGGTCCAGGCTCTATTATTTACAGACTACCATGATACAGCTGGAATATTGCTGAGTGTGGCGTTAAACGACAAACTTTCACAAAAATGTCCATGTCATGTTTTGACTTTAGTTTTCACACAAGACTGCCTAACAATACAAGATGTTTACTTGAGATACTCTAAGATACTTGATTCCTTACAAAAAATGTGTCTCCTCTTGGCTCTTTCAGGAGCTGGTGATGGACGTGTTGCGTGTTCTCAATGCCCCAGACCAGGAGGTCCGGAAGAAGACCCTCGGACTCGCCCTTGACCTTGTCACCTCCAGATCCATCGAGGAGGTCAGTCCATAAGCCTCTCTTCCTCCTCATGGTTGTAAACTGTTAGAGGTGGTGAGAAAAAGGATGTTTGTCATTGCTCATGGTTCAGTCTGTGACAAAACATTTTGATGTTCTCTTTCAACAGCATTGACAGTAGATTTGTGTTATTATAAGAACTTTTAACCGGGCTTAGTAGAATGGGTCCTTCAGACAGAAATTGTTTAAAGGTCACATGCAACCAAAAAATCAAACATAATTAAAACACAATTATCACTTAATCATGACATACATTGCTGATTATGAAAAAACATATAAACAAAATTATAAGCGTACAATCGCAAATCAAAAGTGCAATATTTTGTACTTGGGTTTACTTCCCAAGAAACGAAGCAGCTGGGATACCGAACCCAGTCAGAGCGGGTGGGTGTGCACTCAAGTGTAACGGCTGGTTCATTTGCAGATGCCCTCACGGCTCATTGTGTGTGTATATATAGAGATGTTGGGTTTTGTAAATACATGCTCATTTTTTGTGTATAACATTTTGTGGGTCGGTGGGGTAGCCTAATGGTTAAAGCGTTGGCTCGTCACGCCGAAGACCCGGGTTCGAATCCCCACATGGGCACAATGTGTGAAGCCCATTTCTGGTGTCCCGCCGTGATGTTGCTGGAATATTGCTAAAAGTGGCGTAAAACCAAACTCAGTCAGGCAGGCAGTATAACATTTTGCAATCAACAGACATCATAACATGTCATGTGTTCAAGTATCACACCTGCCTGTCTGTGTAATTACATAATGTGACAGAGACCGAACTCGGGCCATAAATCAATGCGTTTTGTTTATGGTGTATAGCCAGATAGGTGTTAATTTCAAATTGCATGTGGTCAGTGATCGAAGTTGTGTATTGAATATTGTCATTAGCAGACAGGCAGGCAGACACATAGGTGTCAATAAAACAGACATTGAGTTTTGTCTGTGACAACGACATATCTATATCACAGTTAGAAATTCTGTCAATGCTAAATAAGGGACCTCCATAATTTAATTTTATGGAGAAGCATGTGCAATGTGAAATTTCCCTCCCTAAAATTTATGTACAAAATAAGTGACCCCCCTGCTAGTCATGTACAAAATCAATGGCCCCCCTCCCCTTCCCATAATTTCTAAGCATAATTTTAAGCATATTTTTATGTACAAAATTGATGATCCCCCTAGCTCCCCAGAACAAAATGGGTGACCCCCCTTAAAATCTTCATCATCACCCCAAAACTATTTATTCAGAACTATTTATAAAGAAAACGTTTTGATGATGCCCCCTGCAAGAGAATGTTGAGAAATTACAAACCAAGACATTTTCTATGGCAAGCTAACTCAAGGTGCATATTTTAGTTTATGAATTGGTAATCCTAAGTTTGTTTGTTAATCAAGCCTTTAACTGAATATAAATATCCTTAAAGTAATCAACCACCATTATCATGTCTTAACATCTGTCGGAGACCTCTTACACACAACAACTGTAGAGCTATAGTAATTGCAAGTCTCTGTTGTTATAGTTCTACAGTTACCTGGAACAGATACTCTTCATGTCAGTGCCACTGTGACTGTTTGTACAAGGATAGTGTGAATGACGTTGCTGCACAGATGTTGTCACAGCAGGATGTCTTGGTGTAGAGGTTGTAACACTCTGTGTTGTGTCTGTCAGATGGTGTTGGTGTTGAAGAAGGAGGTGGTGAAGACAAACAACGTTGAGCATGAGGACACAGGGAAGTACCGACAACTCCTTGTCCGCACTCTGCATCAGTGCAGCGTGAAGTTCCCTGATGTCGCTCCAGTCATCATACCAGTGGTGAGTCACAAACATCATCATCTCATTCTGTCACCATTCGCTTTACTCTGTGTTCATGTGTGTACATAGTTATGTGAAATGCATTTGGAAATCATCAGCTACATTACTGCTGGGTGTGGTTAAAAAGCGTTTGGTTGTCACGCAGAAGACCCGGGTTTGATTCCCCACATGGGTACAATGTGTGAAGCTCATTGCTGGTGTCCCCACTATATATTACTAAGAGAGGCATAAAACCTAAGTTACACACAACTACTGCGGGGCACAATGTCAGTTCTGCCATCAGTCAGTCAGCATTCACTTTCCACGTCTTGTGGACCTCTTATCTTAAATCTGTTGTCTAATTTTTGGGTGTCGTTAAACTGTCATGATGACTTAGAATAGGAAAACAAACTTGTTCATGGCATTAATTTGGAAAATGTGGCATGCACACATATATTGTATTGTATGTGGTGTCATGAGATTAGATTGGATGGTTTTTGGACCTGTGTTTGATTTAGAAAAATGCAAGAAATGCTTATTGCACTTCTGTGACTTCTATGATTCTTCTGTAGCTGATGGAATTCCTGGGTGACCAGAACGAGCTAGCTGCAGCTGATGTGCTGGTGTTTGTACGAGAGGCCGTCCAGCGCTTCGAGCAGCTGCGTACGCTCATCATCAGCAAGCTGCTGGAGGTGTTCCCCACCATCAAGGCCATGAAGTGAGCCCCTCTCTGTAACCAGTCCTTCCACATTATGATTCAAGTCAAGCTTAGAGTATGGCTGTTGTATAAGTCAAACACTGAACTGGTTGTGGTACGGGGCCCTGATCTGATGTCAGAAACTTTTGTATTCACATTTCTGATATGTATAAGTACCACTGCAGTGTGATAGAAAGTGATCTGTTTTGGTTGTATGTCAATATTTGTTGCAGATCTTAACATAGGATACATAAGACGTAGCTAAAATATCTGAGGTATGATTTGATTGTCAAGTATAGTCCCTCTAATATGTAAAACAACTCGCACAAATTGTTCTTTCCTGACCTGATCATGAGTATTGATGAAGTAAGTCAGTTTTGTGAGAGTTCATGGACCTGGTTACCACGTGCTTGGGTTTCTTACTTCCGTAGTACAGAACTGTTGTGGAGCCGCCTGTGTACAACCAGGTCATGAGTGAGATGTATGTGTGTTTACAGGATTCACCGGGCAGCATTGTGGATCTTAGGAGAGTACTGCACCAGCTCTGAGGACATCCAGCTGGTCATGACTCTCATCAGACAGGCCCTGGGAGATGTACGTACACACAGCTGGTATCCATGTAGTATTATTGGAACACTTCTGTATGGTATTCTGTGTTGTATTAATCATGGAACACCCAGAGCTTCCGTACACCTCTCCCACCTCCCACTTCTATGTAGTATATAGGACTAGCTGGCAGTGTTGCTAACATTTCCTGGACTGGTGTGGCGTCTTGCCGCAGTAAGTAGGTCTGCGAGGTGAGCTCAGTAAAACTTGGTGGGGGGGTGCCTGACTGGAGCAACCTCTGGAGATTTTGTTGGTTGTAGTAAATTCAGCATTTCTAAATTCAACCAATACCCACTAGAGATGACAATTTTGTTTTGTGCTGCTGACAATACTGCTGATTGTTTTGTAGATCCCAATCGTAGATGACGAGATCAAGAAGGCTGCAGGGGAAGTTAAGGAGGAAGGTGAGGAAACTTCTAGCCTCCATATTGAAACAGATATGTTATGAATGTACCTAGTGCAAATTATTGAGCATAGAGAGGTGTGGGTGGCCTAGTCATCTAACATGTCTGCCCTAAGAGGTGCTTTGCAGACTTACTTACCTTGGTCATTGTAGAAACCTTTATACATGTGCTAAGGCCTACATCAGTGTTGATTTACCACTCACAGTGATCCATCACACTGTCATATAAGTAAATACTGCTTACAACAGCATCAGTTTCAACTCGTGGTCTCCTTCCTCTCTGTAGAGATGCAGACCGGTGGTGGAGTACAGAGACTGGTGACAGCTGACGGGACGTACGCCACACAGAGTGCTTTCAGCACCACATCCAGCTCCAAGAAGGACGAGAGGTAACATGAGAAACTAAACTGACCTTCCAGCAACTGAAGTTTAGGGGACAGCATTTATCAACAAACTGAAATGCTAATTGCAATCTTAATAATCTCAACATTGATATTGATGCATTGAGGGTAGCCAAATTGTTCAAGCACTGACTGGTGATGCTGAAAACACCGGTTTGATTTCCTACATACTGTGTTTAATATGGATTGTGGCAGTGATACATCTTTATCAATAATGCTGCAAAATTACCATGTACTTTATGACTAGTTATTTAAGATTTTATGTATTTAGGGACCATGAATTTATAACTAGCAATTTGACCACATCTTGACATGCATGATTAGTTGTAAGTATGAACATGACAATAGTTAATAACTTTGATGTTACCACTTTGCCAGCACAACTTGTCACTGAAGACCACAGCAGTTTGTGGTGATATACAGTCTGATGAACCTGTTTCTTTGATCCTAGGCCCACCATGCGGCAGTTCCTGATGGACGGAGAGTTCTTCACCGGCGCTGCCCTTGCCACCACTCTCACCAAACTGTGCCTCCGATACATCAACATCAACAAGGATGTCAAGAGACAAAATGTGAGAACACTTACTAAACAGAAAGGAATTGTAGATTAGCCTTGTGCATAGTGTGTATTCAGGTGACCAGGAAACCAGTGACTGGACTTATTGAGGCCACTCAAGTAGAACTATTTCTCATGGCTTCTCATGCCATGATCTTGCAGACATCTCTGATTCTTGCATTCTTCCAGGCAATGATAGGATTCAAACACAGAGTAGGACTAATGTAATTTCTATGCTTTGGAAAAAGAAAAAAATACTACTCAGAAGAAGTTAGAGAACAGACACAAGTATTGTTAATCTGTCATTGATGCCTTCCATTTGTTGGTGTACCTTATATTGTTTGAGTGGTATAAAATCAATGGAATTGGAAGATCATAGTGTATACAAACCTATGAGATTTTGATAGAGATGTGCAGATGAAAATGTACCCAATAACAAACCTTCCAGCAGCCTGATTCTACTTCTCTCTCTGTAGGCTTTTGTGGCGGAGTCCATGCTTATCATGGCAACCATCATCCATCTGGGGAAATCTGGACTTCCCACCAAGGTCAGTACTTTTTAGAAAGGAATATACACTGCTGCTTTTGTACGTCCATAGATTTCACATAAACTTCAGCCTGAGTCAATGAACAGTCTCCTGTATTCATTATGTATTTGATGATGAACTGCTGTATTTTTCACAAACAATAAAAGTGATATTTCACTTGTGTGAAGGACATCAGTCTGACCCAAGCTTTGTCTTTCCATGTTAATGAACATCATCTTGTCTTGTAACCTGAGAGTTGATGTTTTCAGTCGTGGCTCATGACAATATCAGTTTCAAAATAACAAATGTGCTCTTTGTATTGAAGTGACATGAAATGTTATCTTATGGTCAATCAATGTTGTATGTGTTTGTCTGTCACAGCCCATCACGGATGATGACGTTGACCGTAGTGCGATGTGCCTGCGTGTGCTGGCTGAGAAGTCGGAGCTCATGAACGACATCTTCAACAACCATTGTCGTGGGTCGCTGTCTTTGATGCTGTCAGCCAAGATTGAAGAGGAGAGGGAACAGCAGGAGGTAATACATGTGGTTGATAACCAGTGCCAGCTTGGAATAACGGAATATACAAGTATTCAGAATACATTGAACATACTTACACAGCTGAACAACCACTGCCAACATAGCAGAACTGAAATATCTTTAATATGTGGCACATATTTACATAGGAACCAATACAGGTTTCAAATAGTGTGAGAATAGTTTGCCACAGATCTTGATAGTAGTGAGTGAGTTTAGTTTTACGCCGCACTCAGCAATATTCCAGCTATATGGCGGCTGTCTGTAAATAATCGAGTCTGGACCAGACAATCCAGTGATCAACAGCATGAGCATGGTTCTGCACAATTGGGAACCGATGACATGTGTCAACCAAGTCAGCGAGCCTGACCACCCAATCCCGTTAGACGCCTCTTACGACAAGCATGGTCGCCTTTTATGACAAGAATGGGTTGCTGAAGACCTATTCTACCCCGGATCTTCACGGGTAGATCTTGATAGTAGAAAATGATGATCCCAGGAATACTCTTTCAGACCAAACTAATTATCAAATGAGACATTGACCACATTTCACATTATACATCCAGCCATTCTATTGTTGCCATTCTATTGTTGCCATTCTATTGTAGTCATTAGTGGAGTTCATGTTTTAGGCTGCACAGAAGAAAGTGGTGAAGGTCCAGGCTGATGACCCAATCTCTTTCACCCAGCTCATCAACAGGGCGGACCTTGGCACAGGGGAGGTAAGTAAAACATTACAGATGTTAACATTTCGGATGTTGGCAATTTAATCTACTCTACTCTGGGGATTTCCTGCACCATTATTGTCTCTGATTCCAGAATGTTCTGTATCTTTGTGAACATGAAAGATCATTTCAACTGCCGTTTTTGTATTATTCAGAACATGTTTGAGCTGACCTTGTCCCAGGCTCTTGGGATGAGTAGCAAGAAGGATGCCGACCCTGCCGGCGCATCAAAGCTCAACAAGGTGAGGTTACTCTTAGACTACTGGGAAAGGCCTAGGTGACACAGTTGTGCCGAAAGTCATTTATAGGGGCAGTGGGAGAGCTTAGTGGTTTAAGCGTTCGCTCGTCGCGCCGAAGAACCGGTTTTGATTCTCCACATAGGTACAATGTGTTAAGCCCATTTCTGGTGTCCCCTGCAGTGATATTGCTGGAGTATTGCTATAAGAGGCGTAAAACTAAACTCACTCACTCACTCACTCACTATGCACCAATGGGTGTGGGTTCCTGATTGTTTTTTTCCATAGGTTCATGACCTGCATCAGTGAGAGCATATCTCTATCATTAAGCACACTGACCATGATAATACCTAAGCACTGTTTGCTATAAGTAGCATATTTCATACTTTATCTGATCAGTGTGTTTAGGACATGTTGTAGCTGAAGCATTCATCATGTCAAGTTTCTGCTGGTGTTTGTGACTAGTTGTCAAGTAAGAAAATAATGGTATATGATGTGTTATACAAAGTTGGTGTCTTCCAGGTGACCCAGCTTACTGGCTTCTCTGACCCAGTGTACGCAGAGGCGTACGTAGACGTCAACCAGTATGACATCGTCCTGGATGTCCTCATTGTCAACCAGACGTCGGACACCCTGCAGAATCTCACTCTCGAGCTGGCTACTCTCGGTAAGATCAACAGAATCCAGATGGCAAAATCTTGTTCATGGGTCATGTATCTGTTGTGTATGTGCTTAAATATGATGTTCCAAGGGGGATCTTCTGCCGGAGCCAAGAGTGTCCACTGGACTATTTCAAAGCATAGTTTCCACCTTTGCCATTTCAAGCTTACTTTTCTTTGAGACAGAGAGCATCACTTGTGTACATTGTGTTGAGGCCCTGATCCCCCACATTACAGACCCAAACCTCCCCACCCCCCATACATTACAGACTCCACAATACAGGTCCTCAGATCCCATGTCTTCAGTGCACCTGTGCTCAGTATGTAATTACTGCCCCACATTGCAGGTGATCTGAAACTGGTGGAGAAACCGCAGCCTCTTACCATGGCTCCTCACGACTTCTGTAACATCAAGGCCAATGTCAAAGTCGCCTCTACAGAGAATGGAATCATATTTGGAAACATTGGTGAGATATGTTACAAGTGTTGTTTTGTGCAGCCTAATTTTGATCTGCTTTTTCTTGTTCATGTATTTATGTTATACTAGTGTTTGCTTTTCCTTGCTGATACATATGGTTAATGATTCATCCAACAAATTGAAGTGAGACGAGGGTTCTCTAATGTGCTGTTTGTTTGTTGTTAAACGCCACACTCAGCAATATTGCAGTTATATGGTGGCAAGAATGTGCTGTATCAAGACGTGACAATGTCAGATTATAATGAAAACTCTGTTCTTTTCTTCTTCTTTTTTTCGTGTGTGGTTTTTTTTCTAATGTGCTGTATTAGCAACAAAGTTTCCACAGTAATCTGACATTTCACATGTCTTGATATGTAGAAAATTTGAATGTTATTTTTCCTGAATCAACTTTGATTTCATCCAATGTCTCTCCACTGAAAGTGTCAAGTGGTTTTATCCGTCTGCCACTTTTCTACTTTCTGTCCTAAGTGTACGATGTGACTGGCGCAGCAAGTGACCGCAACTGTGTCGTCCTCAACGACATCCACATCGACATCATGGACTACATCGTCCCAGCCAGCTGCACCGACTCGAGTTCCGGCAGATGTGGGCCGAGTTTGAGTGGGAGAACAAGGTGGCAGTCAACACCAACATCCTAGACCTCCACGAGTTCCTGCAACATGTCATGAAGACTACCAACATGAAGTGTCTCACCCCAGAGAAGGTACCGGTGCCAAATGCAAGTGAAAATCTTTTATTAAGCACGTGGTTCTTGTTCCCGGGCAGCATGGTGCATGGCTGTTTCCTGTGGCTGCACTGTGGTGATGCAGCTGCATCCGTTGTCTCCCCCCATCAGCAAGGTGGTATGGTGAACTCCTGTAGTCACGAGTAGTAGCCATCAGTCATTCGTCTAGACATCAGATTCTGGTATTCTGCAGTAAATGTTGGTAAAAAATCCATCCTGAATTGCAATTACAAATTTCTCAATTTATGGTATAGAGTAAAAGCTAATGTTATGACTTTGTAGAAGTGACTTGTTGTTCGCCGACCAATTTGGCACCATAATTATTTTTCTACAAATTGCCAGCTACGGGTAGTTAGTTTGGAAACCTGGATATCTCCCTGCAGAATGTGTGCCATATAAACGGTTGGTGTGTTGTTTAATGCCGCATTCAGCAATATTCCAGCTATATGGTGGTACATATAAATGGAGATATTGGGATATTCTTGTCTATTTTATGCACATTGTCTGTTACCATAGTAACAGTGGTGTAGCTGAGTGGGTAGCTGTTAACTTGCACTCGGCACACCAGTGACTTGGATCTCAACTCCACTTATATGTTCAATATATACAGACTATTCCATGTGCATCAGGGTGGTGTAGTAGCCAAGTGGTTAAAGTGTTCGCTCGTTTTGCCAAAGGTCCGGGCTCGATTCCCCACATGGGCACAATATATGAAGCCCATTTCTGGTGTCCCCCGCCATGATATTGCTAAGAGCGGCATAAAACCCAACTTACTCACTCACTTACTGGTCATTCACATAATGAGTGGGCAAGGACTAATGCTGACCTGAGAAACAATCAGGAAGATATCATCAATGGAAGTCTTCATGCATAGAATCTTTAAGAACACCAGGAAATGAGTTCATTTCATTTCTTCGTTTGAAGGTGTAGTTTTGTTCTCTGTAGAGTAGTTTGTAGATTTGTTGAGTTGCCGTTGCCTGTTTTTGTTTGTTACACTGAAACCACCTGTCACTTCCATAGCTTACACCTCTGCTTATGTCACTCACTATCGGTGGACCAGCACACCTTACCCTGACCTTTTTGAACCCTTGATGTAAGTGTAAGATATGCTCATGGTGTCTGCAGTATGGATAAACCTGTCATGTTCAAACATGATTTAACTTGTGAAGATCCGGGTTAGAATTGATCTTCAGTAACCTATGCTTGTCGTAAGAGGCAACTAATGGGATCGGATGGTCAGGCTTGCTGACGTGGTTGACAGATCTATGTCACGTGTCCCAATTGTGTAGATCAGTGTTCATGCTGTCACCAGACTCGATTATTTACAGACTGCTGCCATACACTTGGAATATTGCTGAGTGCAGCGTAAAACTAAACTCACTCACTCACTCATACATGATTAAAAACAATTATATGAAAACGTATGACGATTGTCGACATCTGTTAGGTGAAAGTCTTTGCAGTTGGACAATGAGTGTAATCATGATAACCTTTGTGCTCTTATTTTCAATCCAGCTGGATAAAGATTCTCCCGATTATTCATCAAATTTCTCTCATAGACACTCAAAATATCTGATTAACTGTAATGTTAAATTGTAGAGCATTAACATGATTGTTTTGTAGGGATGCTTATCTGTGTTGTGTGCATGAATTATTTTGTTATTCGAAAGAATAGTCTTGTGTTTTGTTCTATTTGCATTAGATTAACATTGTTAACTGTCACATCTTCAACAGCTCACAAACATCACTTGTATTGTAGATTGTGTTATATCTAATTGAGTTATGTACTCTAATGAGCATTTGCAGGAACCTGGAGATCACTGTCATTTCATCTCATAACGTTTTGTGTTTTGAAGGAGCCATTTCAAACACCTTTCAAATACTTTTGTTTCACCTTCAACTTTTTATTCTTTACTCCTTTAAATCTCCTGGCATCACATTAGCAACATTATGATCATGCATTGGATGTATTTTTTGCAGATATGGAATATTATCTATTTTGAGTAGTATGATAATTATTAGTCTTCATTTTGAAAACAACTTTATGAATATATATCGAAGAACCTAATGATAAGACCAACAAGTCAGGCAGATCAAGGAAGAATATCAATAAGTGTGTGATTTACAGTAGTCCTAACACTAGTGTCAGTTTGTGGACCATGTATCTGGTGTCTGCTTCACACCGTGGACCCTGGATCCAGCATGTACGAAGGATAGTTTCTGTAGAGTGTAGTCAATATTGTGACTTTTCCTTCTTTCCCTATACAGGCTATATCAGGTGGCTGTGGTTTCATGGCAGCCAACCTGTACGCCAGGTCCATCTTCGGGGAGGACGTGCTGGCCAACCTGAGCATCGAGAAGCCAGGTCACCTGGGCAAGGATGCCTCTGTACAAGGTCACATCCGAATCCGAGCCAAGAGTCAGGTGGGTAGTTCGAGTTACCATGGTCCAGCAGATACAGCCTCTACTGGGAGAGCAAATGAGTGATTGAATCCCTTGGACATGTCATACCAAAAGATGGAACCTTATGCTGCTGTCTATAAAGTGACCTCGTGCCACCTAAAAGTTATAAAGCTACAGCAAACTGTGAAAACATCTACTCCATGCATAAGGAGACCATCACCATCACCATCACCTCTTCCAACCTGTCTAATTCTACCTTGAATGTCCGGGTTAGAATATTGATCTTCAGTAACCCATGTTTGTTGTAAGAGGCGGCTAACGGGATCAGCTGGTCAGGCTCGCTGACTTGGTTGACACATGTCATCGGTTCACAATTGCGCAGATCGATGCTCATGCTGTTGATCACTGGATTGTCTGGTCCAGACTCGATTATTTACAGACCGCCGCCATATAGCTGGAACAATGCTGAGTGTGGCTTAAAATTAAACTCACTCACTCACTGTCTAATTCTAGGTGAAAGAAATAGTACACTCTACATAGTGGTATACAGAACTTGTCATTAGGCGCCGGGGTAGCCTAGTGGATAAAGCATTCACTCATCACAGCAAAGACCCAGGTTCGATTCCCCATATGGGTACAATGTGTGAAGCCCATTTCTGGAGTGCCCCAGCGCGATATTGCTGGAGTATTGCTAAAAGCAGAGTAAAACTAAACTCACTCAAGTTGGCAGTCCATGTTAAGCTGAGGCGTATATGAAGGCCCCCATTGTTGACTATATGAACAAATCTCTTGATATGCAACTTTTTATGGTAGCAAGTTCAATAATGTGGTTGTTCTGTTCTTTTCAGGGTATGGCTTTGAGCATGGGAGACAAGATCAACCTGTCTCAGAAGAAATCTCTCAAACCAATGGCTGCATAAACATAGCAGTCACTTCTCTGTATGTTGCACAACATCAGGGAACCTTCAGGTTCTTTCTTTGAGAATGAGAAATTATACTTTTTGAAATGTACTAGAAATTGTTTAACTATTAAATAGTTATTCAAATATATAATCTTGATTTCAACATGTTTAGTGAATGCACTAACATTTACAGGTGAAGTTGTAATAACTCTTACCTTGTATAGAATGTGATGTGATGTTGTACAGGCATGTGTTGTCGGAGTTCAGGTTCTGGGTTAGAAATAATCCCTAGCAACCTGTCTGTCAGTCAGAAAGAGGCAAAAATGTGGATTTCTTTGTTAGAATCCAATCCCATTAATATGAATGACTTTGTTGTTTACATTGCATCATCTGTCTGGTTGATTATTTACTCCATGTACACAAGTGAAAGTCATATTTATCAATCCAGTGGGATTTCTTATTAAGTTCATGGCAGTGTAATACAGTAATTTGTAAATATTTTGTTACTACTTTGCCAATGTTTATGTCCAGTCAGAATGATGATACATCTAAGTTTATCCTTTCTGTCTTTGGTGAGCTGTTTGCTTATTTCTTTAAAGTAATAAAACAAAATGTACATCTGGAGATGTATGGTGTGTTATTTCCTTCTCCATAGATAAACGGATGCAGAATAGTCCAACCTTACACAGCAAGATTCTGGGTGAATATAGCCATCCATGCTCGTCATAAGATGCTACTAAACAGATTAGTTGGTCAGGCGTGGATCTACCAAATCACTGGTTTGAAATATTGCTGACATACATTTCAAAATGTCTGCTGTATTATTTCCTACTCCAGGGACAGACAGATGCAAAATTCTGAAAACTTCTAGGATTCTTGTTAAAAGTAGCCATCCAAGCTTGTTGCAAGACACGTTTAAGGGGATCAGGTGTGGATCTACCAAATCACTGGTTTGAAATATTGCTGGTGTTAAACAATAAAGTAACCAGGCAAGAACCTTGACCACAACCCCCAGGGAGACACAAACACTCCAACAATCCATAACACTCTCTCAGATGGACACACAGATTAGATCCATTAAAGAACAGATCTTGTGAGCTGCTGAGGTTCAGTCTTTGTTCAGCTCCTGTAATGTACATGAACAATGCCATGATACAGCTTCAAATAAGTCATACTGTGGCTGAAAATATTTAAGCCATTCCTGATCAATGACAAACACATTTTAGATCCAAATTCTGCAAAAGATCAGAAATATATGTGTTTATTCAGAAGATTTGTATATACTTTCCTTCATTTTCCAGGATGCTCTTTTGAGACAATATGTCATGTGTTCTTTAAGTGGCATCTAGAAGCTGTTATGATGAAGAGGAAAACTTATTATGGATAGACAACCAAGCAAATGATGCTTGATAACTGTTAGCATCTACACTGTCGCTAAAGTGCTGTAAAACCAACTCACTCACTCGAAACGTCCTATCTATTGCATTAAAGAAGTTGTCTATCCATAAAAAGTGTTCCTCTTCAAAATGTCCTGTGTCAATCACAACAATAAGCAATGAGCATGTTTACTGTCAGTAGCTTTTATTTACAAAATTCATGTCATAAACAAGATAAATTTTCAAAATAATAATGCTTAATTACACATTTAATTACAATATGAAGAAAATATCACTGTAACGCAGATGTTGGTAGAAAAGAGTGTAATTATTCCAACACCTCCCCTTAATATCCTCTCCAACCTTGGTTATGATTCCTATAGTGTTCCGAACTCCAAGATAAAGAATGTGGGAATACCTTATATAAAGACAAATAGTATGATTCACCACCACCAATCTTTTTTCCTGTTTTACAGATGATCCTGTCAAAAGTGAAAGACAAAATGTGATGTCTAATTTTGATACAACTATTGTAAATTATTTTAAAATGAACAGGCTAATGATCAATATAATTTAGAAATCCTGAAATACATCATTTATTCAAGACATGAAAATATTTATGGATAATACCTTCTAAATACTTCTAAATGACTTATCATTCACCTATACTCCACTGAATCATCTCTTTGTCTTGGCCATGTTGCAGGAGACAAAACAATCTGTATAACAGGAATTTTTTACTGGTGAGGCCTTGGAACACTACTGAAAGACTTCCAAAACTCGTTATTACACGGGTAGCCTGCCCAGTCTTGTACATGTCACCAGCATACAATATTTAGGGCACTGATAAACAACATGCTCCAAATAAACATTGTTTATAAAGCTTTCATAAAAATCAAAATTCAAAATCTAAAGAGTACAAAACTATGACATTTCACCCAAAACTCAAAACTGAAAAGCAAGTTATGCCCTGTTTCAACGATTATCTATGGGATGCTATTAAAACCACAAATTTAATACATCAAATCAATACTATCATGATGTCCGCAATTTCGTTCATACTGATAAGACATTATTACATTATCACTTTTTTGTTTTATAGAGATCATATAGATATTTCTGAAACATTTCGTTATCATTTTACAATATTCATGGGCTGAGGCTAGGCGAAAAATATATGAAAAAATAATGTTAGCGTGGTATTTAAAGCTAATTTGCTTAATAACAATCTCTAAACTTACAAACTTTAGATGTGAAAGCAACATAAATTGGTGCATCTTACATCTTTTTGTTTGCTCTTTGATCAAAGCATGTACTTGTTTTACTGTAAGGGTAAAGTGGATCAGTTTGTCTGTTATAACAAGATATAAACTGGTCTTGAAAAATTTACTGAATAATGTAGAACATAGAATCCCATAGAAAAATATTGTAGAAAAAAACCACATTCCCTAAATGATTTGCAAGGTGCATATCAAACATGGAAATAGAGCAAAAGAATTACCAGATACCAATATATCGTACATGATCTTTAACAAAATTTATTGGCAATATAATTTGTGTATTGCTAAAATATGCATATGGTCTGTTAAAAATTTAACAAATAGTAAATTGGAAAATAATTATAGATCTAAAAATGATTCTTTAAGTCAATACGTCATACAATTCATACAGTACAGATATTTTATTCTTCCTTTAACCAGCATATGTGAAAGTTATGAACGTGATAACTGATTATCTTGGAAATAAATGAATTATGAAACAATAAATGACTGCATGCATACTGGAGTCTCAACAGATTACAACCACACTATATACTATGTGCAGCAATGTCTACTGGCAAAGAAAACAGCTGATGACCTTAAAACATAAGTAGTTTTGGGTGTGTAGTATCATTAGTAAATACTGTCATAAGCAAAACTAGTTCACACTGAAAAGCTGAGATACATGATTGTTGTTGCAAATTAAAAACTCAGTTGTATATACAATATTTATGGTGGAGCACGTCAAAAGAATAATGAAGCCGAAAAAATTGAGTTCAATTCTTAATCCTATTGCCCACAAAAGTGGAAACATTTCAAAACATACTGAATGGATACTGATTAAACTGAAATATGACAAATCCTGAAAGAGATTTTGAAACTGAATTTTTGCTAATTTCTATTGTCAGATAGATCTCCAATAGAAACAAGAGTTTCTACAAGCCCTAATGATTTTTTCAGCTTCATCAGTGTTTTGACCAAACCCTCTATGAAACATGACTAGATGCATCTTTTATTGACAAAATAACTACTTAAAGCCAATGTTTAAAAGCTGACCAAGGTCTTATATACTGGTAGTGTTGGTTCACATTATAAGTTGTAAGGAAACATGTGTTGTATGATCTGATGTGTAGTTAAATAGTAACAGCTTGCTAACTACATTCACTGAATCACTTTACGAAGCTAGTTCTAATTCAAACAGTCTTTGGTTCTTTCCACTGGTGACAAGGATTTCTTTGATTTGTGCATTTCAAAAGCCTATACATATGTTTCAAGTTCTCCCCGCATTAAGGTAAATACCAAATGTTTTGCTCCTGGTTTTTTAATACTATTGCATCCTTAAACATCAACAACTAATGCCACTCAAAACCTAGACATTAGTTATATCTTAATGAATCATGAAAAGCCAGATAAAAATGGGAAATGATTTAGCTACTCCACTCTTAATTATCCAGTGCTCAATATCTAAATTCAATTTTGAAAAAAATTCTGGCCAATTCACTGCCACATCTTCCTTTCAGAAGTGTGAGTGAGTAATTTGAGTATTACGTTGCTTTTAGCAATATTTCAGCTTTAAGCAATATTCCAGCAATATCATCGTGGATGTGGAGATTTGAACCAAGGTCTAAAGTGTGATGAGTGAAAGCTTTAATCACTCAGGTACCTCACCTCCCTTCCTTTCCTGTATAAATGTCTTTTGAAACAGAATTTCTGCTCAAGACAGCCATTTCAGGCTCAGAATGAACCAATGAGGGCGAATGATTTCACGATATTCAGCACAGTAGAAGAAGACACAAAGCACCAGATAATTATGAATGTTGTTACTGTATAGAACTGCTTTGGAGGAAAACAAACTTCAATGAGATGTATTCATTTCTTTTCTTTCAATTTCTCCTAATTGTAAAGTAGCTAGCTGGTAAAACCAAAAGTCAAAAGTTGGGGTGATAAACCAAGTACAATATAATGCCTTAGATTCGCTTCTCAGTGTAGTTTGATCACACATAAATCAACACAACAGAATGCTTAGGTTCCTTGCCTTTGGACAGTATAAAACCTGTGATACAACATTAGCATACCCAAAAGTCTGGATGTTTCTAACATAATTCCTAATTAATGACAGGCCATACATTCAACTAGTATTATTACACGGTAGTGCGAGAGATATATGAAAATCTATTTATCAATGAATCTGTTATTTCAAAATCAGACAATAATTATCAAAGATACAAAATATCAGTTTAGTTAATATATCAATGTATAAATCTCATGTCCAGTAATATAAAAGTGTTTTATCACAATATCTAGTCAAGTGTTCCCACTATGAAGTGTCACCAGCAAATTTACAGTTACATGCATATTTGGCATAGCAGGTACTTTCCACACTGACACAAACACTGACACTTTCCCCGTCCAAATAAAGTCAGGGTTATCTCCCTTGCATCACAACAATTCCGATCATCACATTATGTTCCTTGCCTTTGTACAGCATCTTGAACTGACATGAGTTTAAAAAGTAGATCAGTCAACTTGGTGAAAATAAACTGCTTTTCTACCAAGTCTAGCAGTTCATGGTAAGTGTATAAACAGGCTATATGTGTACAAATAATCTAAGAAATCATTGAGGTGACCGCGTTTGGTTACAACACTTGGAACAATTCCTCGACATTTACCACTTTGTTGAATCCGACATGTAAGACTACATATGTTGACAGACCAAGGATCATAATCAGGGCAAATCTCACATCAGCAGTTCCTGACGTGACAAGGGACACAACTCTGCACAGCATGCTGCAGTGTGAAACCACATGGCCAACCAGGAATCATGTTAGAGGCAAGTTTAGCCCATGGGGATATTGAACTTATTTTGTATCGGGATGGACAGTCAATATTTTAGCAACCTTAAGTACATATCCCAATTATTTTCCATATGCACATAGACCAGCAATATCTGAAAGGATTACAATCAAGAATAACATACCCTTTTAAACCTAAATGCTTAAAAAACAGGCTTTTTTTTCTCTGGAATTGAGAATTTTCATGCAGAACACTAAACACATAAACATAAATCTGTTCTCACTAAATATGGAAATAATTATCAAATACATACTTTGTCAACTGTCTGTTTGGTTAAGCTTAATCTCAGATGTAAATACACTTTATGTAACCGAGCATGCAGATCATAGTACATGTACTACTCAACATAGCTACATACAGCTAAAACAATTGGTTCTCATCCTTTAAAATAGGCCCATTCAAAACACGTGTTGCTTCTCATTTCCACTTCGTCCTTTCACCTGACACAAAATATTTCTTAACGTAGCTGTAACTTAGAAATTACCATTTGTTTGTTGTTTATCACAATGTTCAGCAATATCTCAGCTGTATGCCAGAGTTGTTGATAGTCTGGACCAGACAATCCAGTGATTGATACTATGAGCAACAATCCACACTGTGAGCGAGTGAGTTTAATTTTATGCCGCTTTTAGCAATATTCCAGCAATATCACGGCAGGGGTACACCAGAAATGGGCTTCACACATTGTGCCCGATGTGGGGAATCGAACCCGGATCTTCAACGTGACGAGCGAACGCTTTAACCACTAGACTACCCCACCGCCCCCCACTGTGTGGATATGATGGCACACAATAACAACGTGTTCCTTGATCCACCCAATCCACTGACTGAGACACCTCAAACCACTCAAACCAAAACCAAAGTCTTCAAAATTGTGCAATCAAAAGATCTGGAGAAGGACTTTGACTTGTCAATAACAACATTTATTCTGCATGTCAATTTTGTTTAATTTGTAATACTTTTAAGAAATCACTTTTTTTACATTTGACTGAAAAAGAACCTCAGGAAAAAATTGTCACTGAACCATTTCACAAGCTCAAGCTCAGGGTTGGGTGGTTTCAGTTCCAGCAGAAATGAGAAACACAAGTATTGTTTTGCTGGGCCTTGTAACAGTTACATGTTACAACCTGTTCAACACTCAGGCAGATCCTCATGTGTACTGCTTTATTAACAGATCCCAATATATGCCAGCTCACACTTATCACTGCCCAGAATACAGTAGCTGTTTACTGTGGACCAAGGCTAAGTGTTGGACACAATCTATTTGGAGCAAACAGGATTACCTTTAAAGGTCTGCTACTCTCTCTCACTTCTGTCATTTTGGTACAGATGGCACTGCACAAGCAACTAATGATAGCAAGTTTTAAGGAAACCCTTGTCGAAATCTTAAAATTTATCAATGTGTCATTCATTACTGTATAAAAGAATGTGATGTTTTGCAAAATTACTATAATATTTAGTATGTGATCAATCACATTGTCAATGTTGACTACATTAATTACTAACCACAAAAAAGGGTATTAATTAAAAGAATATGACAATCCTATGAGATGGCAAAGAAAATGTGTTGAGCTTGCCTATTTCTGAAGTAGCACTGATTATCGTCCAGCCTTTTGATTTTCTTAGTGATGTTTCTACTTGCTGACCTCCTCTGTACAGTGTAACACACTAACATACACGCTACCGGAATACTATCACAGGACCAGTGTGTTATGGAAATGTATTGAGTAATAGTTCACATCTGCTGTAATCACCAGCATATTCACCAGCTATATTCCTGACTGGTGACGTCTTGCTACCTACCCTGTCATTACTGACAGTGAATAAACACTCCGAACACAAGATTTCTGTTAAAGAAGCAAGAAGATTTCACTCTGAAACCTAAGAGCATGGGTGTGGTGATGAGAAACCATTCATTGGATCCTGGTGCAAGTAAGGGATGCAACTCTGTATACTGGCCTGAAGTCAAGCTGTTGTAGAAAGGGATCATAGCACTAAAGTGATCGTAAGTACCCTATCTTAACCTTATGACAGTCATGGTGCTAAGGTTGAATTGTACAATGGCACCCAGGACTAGAAACAGATCTCACAACTAGCTCCATATACATCAGTAAGATGTCAACCATCAGTATCCTACTGAGGCCATCAGCCTCCCATTGAGACAAGCTCATCAAATATCCCTGACAAATCCCTTATGACATACTATGGATACATACAAATGGTTGTTCAACCCATCATAAATGTTTTCTGTAAGATGACCCATGTTCAGATCTGAACCCATGAACCTACAGCCACTGTTATTTTCAGCACTGTGACCCCTGATGGTAACAAGCATTCGTAACCAACAGGTTTAGAGGAATGACCAAGGGATCAAGGTCCTCGGGGCATTTCATTACAGTATCTTAGGAGGAGATACACCCAATCTACTTCACACTGAATGCCAATACATTCTTGTATTCACCTTAATGTCTAACCCTGCTTAAAGAACTCATTAACACTAAAGTCAAGGGGTGGGTTCACAACAGGGCTAGCATGTTCATAGAGAAGTCTACAGGAAGCATTACCTCAATGGGACTTGTCATCAGTCTTCCTAACCTATTATGGATACTGGACATGCATCAAAGCAATGTGTGACTCATTCACCCACTAAAACCACCACAGATAAACCGACACTTCCCTATTAACAGTGACATCATCGAATGACATTGTCTATTATCTGTCCTTACCAAACCTGTATATACCTAGACATTGTCTATTATCTGTCCTTACCAAACCTGTATATACCTAGACAAACTGGCACATTATTTGAATCTATTCTAAAAAATATTTCCCTGTTCTACCTCATAAAGTAAATCCTCTTATCCACTTTTACTCATGGCTCCCTTTACATGTCACTTTCCCTCAAATCTGATCATGATAATAATAGGAATATTGTTTCCCAAAATTTGAAGTACAGCTATTGCCCAAGAAGAATTAGTTTCTAGGCTTACATGGCCTTTTCAAGGAACAATCACATATGAACATCAACAACCTTTTAACCATTGTGAAAGGCAGCAAACTGTATGTTCTACACATAACAGACTGCAGACAAAGAGCACAGCATAAGCCAATATGGAAGTGCCCATGCTTGTACTGTCTATCATAGCTTAAACAAGTATAAGGAACGAATGTGAGGGTGATTCACATGATAATGCATTTTATTTGGCAAAAATACCCTTATCAGATCATGAATTATTCTAATAGGGTTCCTTTTCTGGAAATATCATATTTTATTGAGGAAATGATATCATATCCCTGCATAGATCTTGCTTAATGCCTCATTCATTTTCATATTTTGATTACCACTGTACAAAACTGTACAGACCTGTCATCCCCTAAAACTGAATCTAAAAATCAATTATATCAGTACAGATTTTCTAAAATGAACAAAAGGAAATGTCTAAGCTGCAGAATTGGCACTTCCTGTAAGTAAAGCAACAAAACCACTGATGTATAATCACCAACAAGGTACAGGTTGCCTTGTATATGACTGATATTTTGAATACCATATGAATATTTTCAATGAACTCATAATGGATACGTGCACAAACATTCCCTGTTATAAAGAACTGGTCATTTACCTACTTGAGGAGGGTCTTGAAATCATGGACAGTTAACAAGATTAAAATGGTCTGATTTATATTAACCATGCTTTAAGGCAAAAACGTGTCTTGAAACAGTCCTGTTAACCATAAGTGTCCCATCTTCTCTCATCATTACCAACCATGTGTCATTTGGGATGAGACCATCATTTTTACAGAAGAGCCTTGAAAAAAAGAATGTTCTAGTGGGTTAATTTTTCGGTCAATTCGTTGATGAAAAAACTCCCTTGCCCCATTAATAAAGGACCAGTTCCTGAGTGAAACATGTAGACAAATATTTACACCCACCCATCCTTTAACCCCAGATACCCTCTGTTAGGTAAAATAATAAATCATCATAAGCCACAGAAACACAGCTCCACTCAGCTCATACAATTACATTGCAGTATATTATAGTATCATGCAGATGCATTCACATGCTTTAGAAGCAGCTGGTAACTAAACACTATGTACTCAACTCACTTCAAATAAACACTGGATGCGTCACAGACACACCTAGTGAGGATGCACGGTCTTTCAGCACACTCGTACAAAACATCATTTCTACACAGAAGTCAGAATAGAAGACCAGATAAAACAAGTCATGGAAATGAACACCAAAATTATGCATTTGTCAGTTTGCAAATGTCCCATACTCAGCTGTTCTTTCATTCTCCACATGTATTATAGTATCTCAGAATCATTCAGTAACAAAATACACCATTTTTACATATTAACCTTAGTATCATTAATATAGAAGTAATGGAATGACAAATTACTTTTTCCCTTGCATACCAACTTAAGAAAGTAAAAAATATGCCTCGAATATAGAAACCTGATTTGGGGGAAATGAAAAAATACAAGCACAAATTTGGGGTCAGTCCCACGGTTGGTCAACGGAGGTCGAGTGGAAGCGTGGTCTCGGTCAGTGGATGTCTGCTGCTCTCGACCCTGGCTCAAGCACCACAAACATTCAGAGTTACCGTGGCGACTGTTACCATGACAACAGGGAATCAAATGCATCCATGATGTCCATCAGTGTTATATTATTGTTTAGCTGCTCATGACAAGACATCTATCACAGTATTGAACATCGCCTCTTCTTCTTGCCTGGGGGTTTCACTGGAGGTCGTTCCTCAGCCTGAAATTTCCTGAAAAAAAATAATTTCAAAGTCTCTAAAATCTCTCACTTTGTACTTTGGGAAAAAACTAAAAGTGAAAAATTCTGTAATCCTTCTCTTTGACCGCCAAAAAAGATGCGATAAACTCTGTACATTAAGTCAAGTTCCTTAAATCGAAATAAGCTCCTTACAGCAATGTGCAGAGCTTAGAAAGCCTCATTTTGACTTCCAGAAGTTTCAATATTTTGATTTTGATTTCCGATTGTTTGACAACACTTTCAAAGAAAATAGTCTTATTTTGAAATTAATTACGCGGCGCATATATAAAAGCGTGTTATAAATTATGAATTTGAGCCATTGTTGGCTCATACATTTATAAATAAAGCGCCAAGGTAAGTACAATTAGAGATTATCCCGTAACTAAGCAGTCGGGCTGCAGCACTGATGCAGTTATCACTATCTGTGTCAAGAAGGGTTAGTTATCACTATCTGTGTCAAGAAGGGTTAGTTATCACTATCTGTGTCAAGAAGGGTTAGTTATCACTATCTGTGGCAAGAAGGGTTAGTTATCACTATCTGTGGCAAGAAGGGTTAGTTATCACTATCTGTGGCAAGAAGGGTTAGTTATCACTATCTGTGGCAAGAAGGGTTAGTTATCACTATCTGTGGCAAGAAGGGTTAGTTATCATTAGTTATCACGGCAAGAAGGGTTAGTTATCACTATCTGTGGCAAGAAGGGTTAGTTATCACTATCTGTGGCAAGAAGGGTTGAGTCTACGAGCCAAAGTCTTTGGACATCATTACAAATCCAGTTCAAGTGTTGTATCATTTATCTGCAAGTCTGTACCTACACAACTTAGGCTGCAATGGTAGCCCTGTACCTCGAGCAAATGTGATTCATATCATGAATATTATATATGGGTAACATTTGCAAAGTTTGGGCAACGAATACAAAACCAAGTCAGCTTCTGTAGTTATCAAGTTTAAGTGCTACATCTTTTAACTGTAAGTTTGTACCTATACAACTTAGGCTTTCTGTTCACCCACCAGAAAAAATGGGTACCCGGTGGGATGAGTCATGTGACTATTAACCTTCTAGCGCCTCAAGGGCAGCTTGGGTTATCCAGGGTAATAATAAGAGCGCTTTGAGCAGGATATTCATCCTGGAATGGCGCTATAAACTTGGATGATTACTGATGATAGCCTTGCACCATTATATGATACATATCATAAATATTATGCGTAACGATTGCGAATATTAGGTAATGAATACAATATCAAAATGCGATCTTTGACATGTTTTCACCATGATGACAGTGACCAGTAACCATTATTGTCAAAATAGATATATAACAGTGCTGATTACAATCCTGTCAAGCTTAGATACATTTCATTTTACAATCTCGCTTTGATAAATAACAACATATGGAAGTAAAAATGCACCTTTTTAAATAAAATTCATGAATATTCCATTCCAGTGATCATGTATAATGAACTGAATTGATGATGGTATACGGTGTGATTCACCAAATAAGCAAGTGAATTGGAACAGCCCTTGTCAAAACACACATCCAATATCTCTAATTGGTTTTAGTGAGTGAGTTTAGTTTTACACCGCACTCAGCAATTTTCCAGCTATATGACGGCGGTCTAATTGGATTTAGAAGCACTAGTATGAGTGAAAACTGAACTTGCTCAAAAAAGGTACCAGCACCTACCAGACTGTGGCACTAAAGTGATATGAGAGGTGAAGTCTGTAGTTCAACAGCGCTTCTCTAACACACATTCAAGACCATTCAGCTGTTGAACTACATTATTCACTGAGTAATCAACAATGGATGAAAATTACACTATCCTAATTAACCTAGAACATAACATGTTTCCTAAACCTAATCATGTGCTGTACTTATAGCACCACAAGGGCTGGTACAATCCACTCACCTTATTCGGTGAATCAAACCGTAAACTTTCATGAATTCTATCAATTATTCGTAATCACTAGACTAGAATATTCATGTATTTATTAAAAAGGAGTGTTTTTACTAGAACTTGGGTGTTATTTACCAAAATGAGATATGGCAGATGGACTATATCCAAGACAGGCAGGACAATATCCAGCACTCATATAAGTATTATTGTACAGTAATGTCGTCACTGGCCACTGTCATGATAAATTAACACTGTCAACATGGTCACATGTAAAGATTATTATAAGTTGTTTACTGGTCTCGAGGGGAACATGGGCTGATGTACCCTCGATGTTTGTTTATGTAACATAAAGAAACATCGATGGTACATCAACCCATGGGCCCCAAGAGACCAGCGAACAACTTATTTATCTTACTGAACACCTCAATGGTAATTTTGAACTTTTTGAAGCACGGGTATCGGATCATAGTATGGAGTACCAGAAGACAAGACGACAAGAAAAACAAATTTAGAGTTATGTCCCTTCCATCGATTTGTATTCGCAAAACATCGGTAATTTCCGTACATCATACATGATTTAATGATATTCGAGATAAAGAATTACAACTACACGAAGTACCAAATGAGTTCGGCATTCCCAGTGGGGTACATAGAAAATGTTACTTGCTTGTAAGCAGGTACATTGAAAATAATAGAAGAGTGCTCAGCCAATCAGAAAACGACATTTATGTGTGAGGCAAGATAATTTGTTTAGTTTCACTTGATATAATAATACTGCATCAACTGCTCATTTGTTATTGTACTGTTAACCCAATATTCATGATTTGTGCCATATTTAAACCAAGGCAGTAATAATGAGTGAGTGAGTTAGTTACTTTAGTTTTATCCCACACTCAGCAATATTCCAGCTACATGGAGGTGGTCTGTAAATAATCAAATCTAGACCAGACAATCCAGTGATCAATAGAATGAGCATCAATCTACACAAATGGGATACGATGACATGTGTCAACCAAGTCGGCAAGCCTGACCACCCAAATTAGTCGCCTCTTATGACAAGCATGGGTTACTGAAGATCAATTCTAACTTGGATCTTCACTGCTACATCACTTTTCACATCTGCATTAACAACTCACCTGATAATTCTAACCAATTCGTAAAATGCCTGGTCCACATTTGTTCTATTTTTGGCACTTGCTTCAATATAACTTATTTTCAAACTGCGGGCCAGCTCTATACCTTTATCCTGGGATACCTGAAAGGGAGATAATCATTCAGTCTTGTGAGTGGGGGAAACTCCATGTCAGCTTATTGTGATAGTACCAGTACAGTGGTCAAATTTAGCACTTAAGAAAGGTCCTTGTGTTTTTGTGTTACCATATTGTTAAAAGTTGGAAAAGCCTGTGTCCTCAAATTCAAACACTCAAGTCCCTTGAAGCCGTAATATTGAAGACTGCTGTATCATTTAACATGATGAATTTTCTTTCAAATCCTGAAGTTTGTTTGAAATACATGTTTGTATTTACAGGATACCTTTTCAATTAAAACTGCTTTTGTAAAGAGATACTTTCAACCAAGATGTGTGTACAAAAGAGGAATTCTGTCCCATGTTAAGATTCCTTTAGACAGCAACATTTTCTCTCCCATCAGCCTGCCGCAGGCATGCACTTTTGGTACAGCATTACATTACTACCAGTGAGTTCACTGCTGTCAGAACAATGCTGAGTTGCACTAACAGAGGGTGTCTAGTGAACACCGGGAGGCTTGAACCTTTATACTTGGTATATTTATTTATTTGAATACCTATATGTTAATGAACACAAAAGAGGTTGTAAAACAACTGTTTCCACATCTGACCTCAACTGATCACATATTTAGACAATAACTTACAAGTAACGGGGAATGACAGATTATCTTTCCCTAGTTATATTTATTACGTAATTCTCCAGCTTTGGCAAGAGAATTACATAATTAATATAACGAGGGAAAAATAATCTGTCATTCCCCGTCATGAGTTGGTTATTGTTTTTATTAACCATATCAGTTTTCAATCTAAAATATGCTAAAATAAAAACAGCATTGTCTGTAAGGAAAAATGCGACGTGGGGAACCCCCATATCCCTACACATTGATTGGCTGTTTTATTTTCTGAAACAGCCAATTATCATTCACCAAAAGGTGTAACCTCCCTAGGGAAAATATTACCCTGTGTTCTCCTTCCCATATGGGTTATATATACTTGTCATCATAGCTGTACAATGCAACATTCTTGTGAGTTGTTGAACACTGCAATGTGTCTGAAATATGATGGCAGTCAGAAATAGTCAAGTCTCAACAAGAGACGGATGCTAGAGCAATGTTCAACGATATGGGCACTCATCCACCAGGTTATCTGGTCTGTGAACCTGTGAACCTCATACAACGCTTCCTTAGCATAGGTTGCTGGGGATGTGACCCTGAAGCCCTTCGAGGATCTCCCATGTGAATGAACGTCCTCAACCTTGCACCATTTAGTTAGGAACATAAAATGAAAACTCCTCATCGCCTTTACAGTTGATTTGCATCATAAGGCAGGGTACAGAAACCACCAGACTGTTACACTAGACTGTAACACCTGACTAACAAAACATGGCTTCCAGCATGATGTTATCCTGTGAGACTTACATCCCTCTGATGCTCTAAGTCGGACTTGTTTGCTACAAGGATCATCGGAAATTCATCTCGGTCTTTCACACGCAATATCTGCTTGTGGAACTTGTAAATCTCTTCAAAACTGAAACAAACAAAAAATTATCATCATTATCAAACACATAAAAAAAATTCATTAATAAACAAGATAGTTAGGTGGAATTTGACACATATTAATTACACATGAAAAACTATACTAAACTTCAATCACAATTATATCATCAGACAAATCTTACAACTGGACACAGTATACAAGAAGGAAGACCTACCTGCTGATGTCCGTGATGGAGGACACAGAAAGGAAGACCTACCTGCTGATGTCCGTGATGGAGTACACAAGAAGGAAGACCTACCTGCTGATGTCCGTGATGGAGGACACAGAAAGGAAGACCTACCTGCTGATGTCCGTGATGGAGTACACAAGAAGGAAGACCTACCTGCTGATATCCGTGACGGAGTACGCAAGAAGGAAGACCTACCTGCTGATAGGGCTTCAAAGAGTCCATTTTTTGGACTCGACTACTCGAGGGGTGAGACTCGACTCGGACCCGAGTACTCGAAATTCATACCTTTCAAGCAAACGTTCAATTGTCAAGATAGTTATCTAATCATTTTCAGAAGTGAAATCTCAATCGATGTATAATATTTACTATCATCTGCAGACTTGTAACAACTAATACCATACAGCCACACTGTGTGAGGAGTAAATTATTTAATCTAGGTGTTAATAAAAACATTATCAGATGGGTTAAAGAATTCAGGGTACATAGAACTCAGTATGTCAGTGTCAATGGCTATCAATCTTCTTTTCTCTCAACCTCTGCTGGAGATCCACATGGCTGTGTTCCTTCATCCGCACGCTTCGTTTTGTATACCAATGACTGTTACTTGTCAGTATATGACTTGTTTACTGTGAAATTTGCAGATGACGCCACTGTTACTGGCCTAATTTCTGATTCTGAACATTATTATCATCAAGGCAATGACAAAACCGTAATGACAGTTTTTTATCAAATCTTTATTCAAAGTGTGTTGACCTACAATTTTCTATGTTGGTATGGGGATCTGTCTCATCGCAACAAAAACAGACTTTTCAAAATTGTTAATACTGCTTGCAAAATTTCTGGAGTGTATTTCGAGTATAGTCAAAAAGGCAGCTAAAATTAGATTTGATAGTTGACATATTTGATCTCACCATTTTGAACTACTTCCTTCTGGACGCTGCTGTCTATTACCTTCCCTCAAAACAGAACTCGACAGTCTTTCATACCATCAAGTATTCGTGAATGCAACAAATATTTTGAATCATCATCATGTGATTAGAACTAGAATTATTCAGCCTCTTTACCTATGTGGTTAATTGAATTATATCACGTCAGTTTTATTTGTAAATAGCATTCGTTTTGAGCATGTAATTATTGTGCATATTTTCGTGAACTGTGTATATATTCATGTTGAGACAGTTTGGATGTATGAGAATTTCCTCCGGGATAATAAAGTTATATCTTTTTCTTAATATTAGACGTTAGCGGCCGCTCATGCTTAGCACATGGCAGACAGTCTGTCAACATCAATAATTCGAGTTATCTCCCCTTTTCGAGTCCTCGAGTCCTTGAAAATGGACTCGAGTCCAGCTAAACCCGACTCGTCCTCGAGTACTCGAGTACCCGTGGAAGCCCTACCTGCTGATGTCCGTGATGGAGTACACAAGAAGGAAAACCTACCTGCTGATGACCGTGACGGAGTACACAAGAAGGAAGACCTACCTGCTGATGTCTGTGACGGAGGACACAGGAAGGAAGACCTACCTGCTGATGACCATGACGGAGTAAACAAAAAGGAAGACCTACCTGCTGATGTCCGTGACGGAGGACACAGGAAGGAAGACCTACCTGCTAATGACCGTGACGGAGGACACAGGAAGGAAGACCTACCTGCTGATGACCGTGACGGAGTACACAAAAAGGAAGACCTACCTGCTGTTATACGTGACAGATTACACAAAAAGGAAGACCTACCTGCTGATGTACGTGACGGAGTACACAAGAAGGAAGACCGACCTGCTGATGTCCATGATGGAGTACACAAGAAGGAAGACCTACCTGCTGATGTCCGTGACGGAGTACACAAAAAGGAAGACCTACCTGCTGATGTCTGTGACGGAGTACAGAAGATGGAAGACCTACCTGCTGATGTCCATGATGGAGTACACAAGAAGGAAAACAAACCTGCTGATGTCCATGATGGAGTACACAAGAAGGAAAACAAACCTGCTGATGTCCGTGATGGAGTACACAAGAAGGAGGACCTACCTGCTGATGTCCGTGACGGAGTACACAAGAAGGAAGCCCTCCCCAGACCTCATGTACTGCTCTCTCATGGCACTGAACTCCTCCTGGCCTGCTGTGTCCAGAACTGCAAGCAGTCACAACAATAACATTACTTACTAATTCACAAATCAACAAATACTTAACATATGTTAGAAAGTACGGAGAGTCTACAAGTCCTTGCTATGGAACTGGAACCTGGGAACACTATGCTAAAACAAAGACCAACATATCTTTGGGAAGAAACTAAGACCTCTGAGCATAGCTTGACACCTGCAGATAGATAGCCACACACCTGCAGACCTATAGCCACACCCCTGCAGAAAGATAGCCACACACCTATGGAAAGGTAGCCACACACCTGCAGGAGAATAGCCACACACTTGCAGACATATAGCCACACACCTGCAGAAAGATAGCCACACACCTGCAGACATATAGCCACACACCTGCAGAACGATAGCCACAAACCTGCAGACATATAGCCACACACCTGCAGACATATAGCCACACACCTGCAGAAAGATAGCCACACCTGCAGACATATAGCCACACACCTGCAGACATATAGCCACACACCTGCAGACATATAGCCACACCTGCAGACATATAGCCACACACTTGCAGACATATAGCCACACACCTGCAGAAAGATAGCCACACCTGCAGACATATAGCCACACACCTGCAGACATATAGCCACACACCTGCAGAAAGATTGCCACACCTGCAGACATATAGCCACACACCTGCAGACATATAGCCACACACCTGCAGAAAGATAGCCACACCTGCAGACATATAGCCACACACCTGCAGAAAGATAGCCACACACCTGCAGACATGTAGCTTGACACTTGCAGACATATAGCCACACACCTGCAGAAAGATAGCCACACACCTGCAGAAAGATAGCCACACACCTGCAGGAGAATAGCCACACACTTGCAGACATATAGCCACACACCTGCAGAAAGATAGCCACACGCCTTCAGAAAGATAGCCACACACCTGCAGAAAGATAACCACACACACATGCAGACATATAGCCACACACCTGCAGACATAAAGCCACACACCTGCAGACATATAGCCACACACCTGCTGAAAGATAGCCACACCTGCAGACATATAGCCACACACCTGAAGACATATATCCACACACCTGCAGAAAGATAGCCACACCTGCAGACATATAGCCACACACCTGCAGACATATAGCCACACACCTGCAGAAAGATAGCCACACCTGCATACATATAGCCACACACCTGCAGACATATAGCCACACACCTTCAGAAAGATAGCCACACACCTGCAGACATATAGTCACACACCAGCAGAAAGATAGCCACACACCTGCAGACATGTAGCTTGACACCTGCAGACATATAGCCACACACTTGCAGAAAGATAGCCACACACCTGCAGAAAGATAGCCACACCTGCAGACATATAGCCACACACCTGCAGAAAGATAGCCACACACCTGCAGAAAGATAGCCACACACTTGCAGAAAGATAGCCACACACCTGCAGACATATAGCCACACACCTGCAGAAAGATAGCCACACACCCGCAGAAAGATAGCCACACGCTAGCAGAAAGATTGCAGAAAGATAGCCACACACCTGCAGAAAGATAGCTTGACACCTGCAGACATATAGCCACACACCTGCAAAAAGATAGCCACACACCTGCAGAAAGAAAGCCACACACCGACAGAAAGATAGCCACACACCTGCAGACATATAGCTTGACACCTGCGGAAAGATAGCCACACACCTGCAGAAAGATAACCACACACCTGCAGAAAGATAGCCACACACCTTCAGAAAGATAGCCACACACCTGCAGAAAGATAGCCACACACCTGCAGAAAGATAACCACACACCTGCAGAAAGATAGCCACACACCTGCAGAAAGATAGCTTCCACATTGTGGTGGTAGTGCTACGACTGTTGCAAAATATATGTTGGACTATGGAAGTTACGATCCTCCTAGCGGTAAGATCATTTTGTAGAACAGAGCCTGTTCTTGTTCCTATGGGACAAAACATCCTCCCTGCCAGTCCAGGAATATCAGCAGCTAGACTTGCACAAGTCTCTAAGGTAAACATTGATAGTTTAAGTGATAATTTAATTTTTTTTTATAAATAACAGACTGGGGCCGTCCGCTTATCTAGACTTGCCTCTTCAAAGGACAGAATTACTATACATCCATGGGCTCAGCATATATATTACATCATATTTATTCAGGGACTAAGCGTTAGTCCACATTGTGGTATGCGCTGTCACTCTGATTCATGTTGCTAAAGCCATTCATATCTTAAGAACATAATGGAGAACACACCGAACTTGGACCCCATTACCCAATTACTGACCCTGACAGACAATGCATTCTAAACACAATAAACTTCAGTACAACATATCACGCCATTATGAATTCCTGAGGAATAGTTGTGTTCTCTTTCACAACCTGGCAGATCATGAAATAGTTCTGGAGATTACAAAGCTGAAACAGGAAATCCTAAAACACTTGGATGGTCACTCTTGTGTCAAGAACATTCAACAGTGCGGAACTAAAATACTACGTCCGCCCAACCACACTGTCAGCTTGTGTCAGTGCGATAAGTAGAAAGTGACACCTTTAGGAGAGTTTGTAGTTGGTGTGTGCTCAAACACTGACGGACTCGTCAAACATGGTGACCCGACTCCAGTCAAATATATTCTTCCTTAAACTGGTTTACTGTGGTGGTCTGCTACAGGAATGTCACTGATATACCATGTAGTTGACAGGACAAATAGATACACATTCCTCACCTGGCTCACTTCCTCAACATGCTGGGTCATTTATAGCATGTAGAGTGAGTGAGTGAGTGAGTGAGTGAGTGAGTGAGTGAGTGAGTGAGTGAGTGAGTGAGTGAGTGAGTGAGTGAGTGAGTGAGTGAGTGAGTGAGTGAGTGAGTGAGGAGGAGTGAGAGTGAGTGGGTGGGTGGGTGGGTGGGTGGGTGGGTGAGTGAGTGAGTGAGTATGTGAGTGAGTTTTAGCAATATTCCAGCAATATCACGACGGGGGACACCCGAAATAGGCTACCCATGTGGGGAATCGAACCTGGGTCTTCGGCGTGACGAGCGAACGCTTTAACCACTAGGCTACCCCACCGCCCCAACAGAATCAACTGAACCACAACAACGCCTGCTGCTAATACACACCCTCAGTTTTATTTGTATATTTTAGCACAAAGGCTAATGTAGCCTCCCAAACTTTTATTTCACTTGAATGTTGTGCATACAACCCTGATGACATAATACTAGTATCAAAGCAGACAATATGTGAGGTCAATAATCTTTGTGTAATGGGCCATGAATGACAGTGGTGGGCAATTCCAACCCAACTAAGTGTATGAAACTCAGGGGGTTCTGGGGTGCTTATGGTTGATGGTACTGGTGAGACTAGCCAGGACATCAGATATGGGTGTTTCAAATCCTACCCATTTTTCTGATTTCCTGAAGTTATTCAGGAGAACCAGCTATGGGTTTTACCGATGTGAGGACTGAAGCTGGAGTTCACATAATGAGCAAACATTCCATCCTCCTTCCATCACCCTTCATACACTCAAACCAGTAGACGATAGTGGGGCAAACAAAGCCAAAAGCCTAACGTTCAAGTCCCACATAATTACGATAAGTGAGGCCCACTTATGTTGTCCTCAATCTATAAATGGCTGGAATATTACTAAAATCATTTTACAAATCACTGAAACGAATCATTTCCACAAACATAGATATAATCATAGTGAGCTTATAAAGCAGACAAATCTGACTCTACAGGTAGCACACATATGGAACTTCCAAACCAACATTGGGAAAACTGCCAGGTCGACCATATTACCTTTTACCATTTACTGTTACAGAAATTAGTTGTATGATAACATACATAACATTCATCCTGTCTAGCAGATACTCTGATGTCTATCTCATGTTGAGAAGGAAAAGAGGTCCTCACTTCTCCAAGCCTAAACGAGATCAACATGGAATCCAGCTGGAATATCTTCCTGCCCTCTTGAGCAGCTGACTGCCCAGACCCAGTCAGGACACAGAAACATGCCAGCTTCAACTTGCAGTGCCTGGTAGATTTGCTGTCATAAAATATTTATATCAACCATTCCAGAGCTAATTCTTCTTGCCACTTGTGGTCTATTTTTGAGATTGTCGGTTTTACTCGTCAACTCTCAGTCTTCTGTTACCTTCACCTATAAACTGACCTTCGTTTATCTTCAGCATCAACAGTGGTATGATTATTCCAAGTTTAATTAACAGTTCTTAAGTGGCAATAATAAAACCTTCGCTTTTGAAAAATAGAATAATTCTAGTTTTGATACTGAGTGAGTGAGTTTACTTTTAAGCCGCTTTTAGCAATATTTCAGCAATATCGTGGTGGGGAACACCAGAAATGGGCTTCACACATTGTACCTATGTGGGGAATCGAACCCAGGTCATTAGTGTGATGAGCGAGCACTCTAAGCACTAGGCTACCCCACCACCCCAGTTTTGATACTGAGAGGCTCTATGAATGTGCACTGGATAAGAGTCTACCTAGTCATTTGTGCATGTAAGGGAAAAGATAAGTCATTAAAAAACTGTTCATCCAAATTATTGAACTATATCCTGCTTAAGGAAGAGAATAAAACATCATTTACTGGTTTGCCATCAATCCGATGTCATTTAAAAAATGTGTTTACATTACTAAACTATATCCTGCTTTAGGAAGAGAATACATCATTTACTGGTTTGCCTGCCATCTATCAGATGTCATTTTAAAAATTCATTTATATTACTAATCTCGCTTGAGGAAGTGAATTTACAAGGAACACAAGATTCTGGGATATATGTGTTCTCCTTCTGATATATCACGCTTGCTGATACAAATCCTATACATTATACACAGATAAACTATTCAAGAAGGAAAGTCTCCATTGCCAATATAAACATTCTGAAAAACATTTACAAATATGCACTGTACTGATATACGCCATGTCACTATCACCTGTCACGATATTGTGTGGAAGTTTCCTCGCTCTTGTA